CTACCGCTGTCTTGCATTTAAATGTAAATGTTTGAGAAAGAAGCTGTTTCGGGCGCCAATTAACAATTAACTGCTCCATCGCTGGGATTTGTGCGAATTGGCCAGTAGCGGAGGTGTTCTCCCACGCCACCACAATGACAATAAGAAAGCCCAGGGAAAGCCGGATCTGAGAGTCAAAATGGCTTAATTATGCGATTCTCGGTCAGTCACAATTTATTACAGTAGGCTAAACGATATAAATGGTCAGATGAGATAGTGTTTGCGGCAATCGTGTGATTCGCGCTGCGTCTGCTACCGAACGACCTTTTAATTTCAGTACTGTTGCTCGAATTTGTTTGGGCCTTGAATTTTTAGGTGTGAATATTTTAGAAGAAAAAACATGAAATGAGAAAAACTATTTGACAAACATGCACTACAATGCAGATTTTGCCTTTTGGTCTACATTTTCTATGTCGTAATATCACACAGCGAAAAAACAGAAACCTCCGGAGTATTGAATTTTAGTAGTGCATAGCCTTATTTCAAACTTAAATTTCTTAGAAGTAGCTCATGATGAGTCGAGTTTTGCCGCGTTTTGCTTTGTACCTTCAGCTGCTATCCTCCAATTCTAAAAGTTTTGCATGCCATTAGCGCCTAAGCGATTCCGTCCTGCGCAGCCATTATCCAACGGAGTCGAAACAGTCAAATGAGCAGTTTCGATGCCTGTTGGTTGTCGACAAGATACATAATTTGTCGAAATTGTCGATCAGCTGCAGGTGAAACTTTTTATGTCTTTTAATATAAAATTTCGCTTAAAATTATAATGCTTGTCTATTCCCTGGAAAAACTAAGCATAATTAGTTTAATAGTCATATTTTACACCCTGCAGATGAAAGCGGCAAAGTGGCTGTTTCGCATTTCCCATGCTCGGTTTTATAGTAATCATAACATGGTTCCCCTGTCAGTATTTAAAAATGCGGTTACAGCAGTGAACTCAGTCCCACCAGCATATATCTTCAGTTAACAACGAGGAGGGGCCAAAGTGATGCTTTTCTCATTTGCATTCTGCCTTCATTTTCGTCTAAATCAGAAGTTTTACACTTCCTGCCAGAAAAACCGAATTTAAGTGGGCAGTATCTCCCGGAGCACAAAGGGCTTTGACAGGATTGTGTGGATGGATGTTGACAGTGAGGACAATTTAATGTTTGAAAATTGGTCAAATGGTCGGCTTTTGACCAATTTGAGGGCTTAACAAAGAACTGCATCAGTGAGGCAGTGAATTACGCAATCGTTTTTGTCAATCACTGACTGAACAAAAATGCAATTTGCATAAAATTGCAACAAAAATCTAGCTCAGAAAGGGTTCAAGTCAAAAGACGGAAATGGAAAATCGCAGTGAGGATTGTTTGTTTTGTTAGCTTCTTACTGCAGTACAACAGAAGTCCCGAATACTAATTTAAAATACTAATTTTAACTTACTAATTTAAAATTAAGATGAAAAGTACGAATTAACAAATTCGAACAAAATTCCGGAATCTGCGCGATGTGACTCAATATTTGAAAAGTGGCCCAGCACATTTGCTGAGGACATTTGAACAAACAGTTTAATGCTCGTGCGAAACCATGGGACTGATTTTTTCATTATTACTTCATCTGAAGCTCACATTAAGCGAAAGTAGCCCGTCAGGTACGCACTGTGGAAGAAGATCAAACGCGCCGTATCCGCATTTTTGTCATTCAGTTGCACTGCAAGAGCGAGCAATGAGACAACAGTTTACCAGGCTTTGAACAACTGCTTAGGGACTTTAGTTTCCGCAGGACTTGCTTTCAGTCAACAAGAATTTGTTCACACGGCTAACCGTGGGATGCCAGTTTGCTGTTTCCATATTCCGCGCTTTTTTTCCAAGTCGCTATAAAAGAGGAGCAATGTTGTCTTGTTTGTTTCAGTTACTAGTGTGTCTACCATACTACATAAGTAAGTCACATATAGGTCGCTTCTCAAAGCAAAGTCGACACAACAAACCACCGAAGGTTACGGAGCAGAAGACGATAGCTTTTGTTTTTAGTCGCTGCTCAGAAATTGGATTCAGAAATTTTTGAATAACAAAAAAGTGGGTACCCAGCATTTGTCCTCTGAAAACTGCACTGCGAAGGCACGCGGTGTTTATGGTACGAACTGCTGAGTGATCTTCCTGGACTCTGTTAGTGTCAGCTGGGTTGCAGCTGAGTCTTACTGAAAGTAGTGGCTGTTTAAGTGACAATTAGAGGTTGGATCATTTGCCAGGACGCAGTCGAAGGTCACTTCGAAGCACCCGCAAATTGTTGTTATTACTTGTTCGCTGAAAAGATAATAATTAATTATGCATCATGGAATCTATTGTTTGACTCACACTTAGGACTCCGCTTGTTGAAGTTCGGCCGACTTAACCTATTTACTGGCAGGGCTCATTGCCTGCAAATGAATACATGTGCAAGTGATCGCCTCTCTAATCGGCTTACTTCAAAGCTCAGCTCCCCGAATTATCGCTAATTTTTCCACACTACCAGGTGTTCTTTTCAGCATTAATGAATTTAGCAAGTTTTTCAGGTCATTCCAGCCGGAAGTTCGTCGTTGTTGGTGCTCCGGCTCATTCTGGGCATTCTTGCTAAAGGATTCTTGTGTTGTTGAAGACTCTCGTCCTTCTGGAGCCCAAAAATGAAAACCAACGCATGGCAAAGGGCACACGTTGGCATGCTTTTCAGTGTTGGCTGTTCTAAGCACACAGTTTATGAATACATGTGATAAATTAGCTCAGTGATTATCTTTTGGCTCATCCAGATATGCTGTAAGTGGTTATCGAATTTTTCTCCTGCTCTATCTGGCCCAATAAAAAAGTATAAAATGCACAGCTAAGATCATGAAGCTTTAATGTTGAATTCTGGTCATCCTTCGTCCATTTTTGCCTGAAGAAGCCAAAAAATTAAAATAGCGGCGGTTTTTTAGCATAAAAACATGTTTTCTTAAAACAGACATTGTTTCATAGGGCAGTTCGTTCGTCGTTCAACGCTCAAGTGCATAATGCTGCCACATCAGCAGCGCGCATTGTGCCGCCCTGCCGTGGTGCATCTGGCAATTCATTGGTCATTGTGTTTTTGCAGAAAAAGTTGGAAGTTAGAAAAACGATGAAACTTCGCGCAAATAAATGAGTGATGGCGTTTTGGCGCACACCGAATGACCCTTTTGATTGCATCTATTCACCACACATTATTGTGGCCTTCGCTCGCCCATTTTCTTTCGGTTTTTGCAGTTTATCCGATTTGTCTAAAATATTAGCAATAACAACCACAATAATAATCGCGCCGTCCGAGCTCTTAAAGTAGCGCACGAATTCCAGATTTCCCTCGTGCTGAGCAAATCACGCTTCGCCAACAATCGTCTAAGGCCCAGATCCGTGTGGAATAGTTTAATCGGAACATTCACCGCTGCAACTGAATCGAGACAAGGCACTTCAGGAGATGTGGTCTGAAAGAGCAATAGTGGCGAATGGCATTCGCTCACAATGTGATTGCATTATGCAAGGGACAAAGCCAAACAAGCAACAAACAATTTGATAATAATAATAATGGTCTCGCTAGTAAAGATTCAGTGGGCTCCGCGCAGTGATTTCGACCTGCCGATGCTCCCTTCTGGATGACCAGAGGATACTCCGAGCCGTTGCTCC